AGATAAGGGCGATATAAAAAAAGGAACCCCCCCCAAAAAAAAAGGGGGGGGGGGGGTATATATACACCAATTGCAAATCCCGATACAATGCCACATGTCCAACGGACAGATAACGATACACACATACAAAAACCCCCCAACAAACAATAAACAAACAAGCAACAAAATTGTCAATGATTGCTCCTGTTTATAGGCTTATATATTATATAAAATATATCTCATGCTCTCTTTGACACTGTTCCGTTACTCCAGACCAGTTTTTGTGCAACTGCCTGTGTGCAACCGTTTGGCATTTATTTTATGTCGTGTGATTACATTTTTTGGAGCTTGTTGACATATTAAACCGGGATAATTGCATAAGATCTTATTAAGACATACGTCCATCCCCACCCCGCCCCAAATGGAGCACACACGTGCTCCGCCCCTTCCCCCCTCTCTAATTGATTCCATCTAAGTTTGACGTAAACAAATGTATTGTCTTTATTAGGTGGCTTCTATAGACCGGCGAGTGTGGTGAAGCGGTTAGGAGCTTCGCTGTCGTACACAGAAGATATGTAGTTCGATTTCAGTGTGTGGAGGATTTTTAAAAATAATCTGTCTTCCTGCTGGGATGACGACGCCTCTTAGCTCTGGTTGGTCCAGCCAGGCAGGCAGCCACCTTCCTAATTGATATTAATTGTGTCAATGGGGTGTAAAACATCTGCAGTTATTTAATGGCTCCGCCTGGAAGTGGAAAAATAAGTGTGTGCGTGTGCATAATGTACGAGCTAATGGCAGAGATCGAGAGACAAATGAGGAAGAAGTAATTTATAATATAAAAAGAAAGTACAGCTTAGCCTAGGGAGAAATTTTTCGTGAGCTCTTAAACGATCTAAGTTAGTTAATATATTTATCCAAACTGCATGGTTCCATAATTTATCCATAAACGTCGTTGAAGATGACTTCACACGTAGCCAATGTCCTAGGCAATTAAAATGAATGCAGCCCGCTAAAATTCATGGTGTGCCTGTACAGCAGAGCGACAGCCCCCCCCCCCCCCCTCTTTATACCCCCCCCCCCCCTGTTTTTTTTTTCGTAGTAGATAATTGTTAGGAAAACCATATGTTCATGCCCTGACTATCTTTTTTCATCCCCATTGATATTTTTTTTTTGTTTTTTTTTTTTTTTTTTTTTATATTACGAATACGGTTCATTAGACGAGATATTTAACTTTCACAAAGTACACAATAATATTATTTACGCATGCTTCGTTGTAAGACTCACTTTCGTTGAACGTAAAGCCCAGTTACGTAATTAAGTCTGGCTTTTCCGGTTTGCATTTCAATAAGGTACTTTTTTCTGTTAATTCTTTTTATGCGTGTTATGCAGAGCAAATAAAATGAAATTTAACGCAATGAAAGTTATTTGTATGTCTTCTACTTAAAATGATCTAGTCGCAAACAAAAAAGCAAAATAAACAATAATAACTTGAATGCAAGTGCTCAAGCCCCCTGATCGACTGAGGGTGTCCATCGCGTGACGAGCGGGCCGGGTAGAAAATGGTGTCATCGTTCAGCAGTGAAGCAGGAACTTGAGAGCGAAAAAAACTAGGTCTTCACTGCGCATGCGCAGCGGTATTGTCCTTCTTTGATGGCGGCGTCCATGGTCTTTGAGCGCTCTGAAACGTGATTGTTTGGGCATTGCAAAGATCAAACTAGCATTGAATGTTCAATTTTAGGTAAGTTTTGGGGACAGATGTCTTACATTCACTGATTTATGAGGCACTGGATGTGTTTAGAATCTTTTCATTAGTAGAAAATCTTAATTGGAAAAGGTACCCACAAGGCGTCAAAGTGAAGGAATGAAAGAAAAAAGGTAAATGTGCCATCATGTCCCGATGGTGGTCCAAGCCACAGGTTGAATTTTACACCCTCGTCTTGTGAGGCATACGAATAGAGACACAGCAGTACAGCACAAGCAGGTCTATGTGCCGGTAGCCTGAATTCTGCTGCTGGAATTCTCCCATCCTATCTTCCAATGCAGCTAACAGATTCTAGATCTAGACTAGAATCTAGAGATAAAAAATGAAGTAAAAAAAAAGAAAATTCTTTTACTGGACACCCCCCCCCCCCCCC